GTCTTCCGAAATACCCCTTCCCAGGGGGGGGGGTGTTACAACATGGAAGGAAAAACAAGCCCCCGCGGGGGGGGGGGGGGGGGGGGTCGGTACCAACCACATACTTCGAAGTAGCTGGTAAATAATGAATTCACCACGCCGTCGGATCACACCTTATGATAACACTATTGCTAAGTTCTTTCAGGTTGCCGACTATATCACTCCTCGGCGGCACCGCTGCTGCTGTGCCATTCTGTATTGTCACATTCTGGTAATGCGTCAGCACCATCATCGCTGTTGGAACATATGCGGACGCACGCACGCACGTTACTCATAGGTGTAGTATGCATAGGAACAAAGAATGCGATGACACGTTCGGCATATACAACAAACCCATCGCAACGCTATTTTAAAATAGCTATTTTTAAATCCCCCCTGCTATTCTTATCGAACGCACACCACAGGAAACTGGGAGGTTTGGTCATATGAGGCAGCAATTCTCAAAAAGTGCTGAGAGGCCTCTTGTACATGTGGGCTAGTCGCCGATTCCTTCAATGCTGCCGAGGAAAAAAAAGCCGGGCGTATGCGTATGTACGCGTATGTGGCGCTAATTAGTCAAGGTGGAGAGGAGGCGACCAATCTCGTACACAACAACTTTACATCATCATACAAGCGGAGACCGTAGGACACGCATGAGTTGCGTTGGTTGAGTCGAGTCCTTGCGTGGCACGTAATCCGCCATATTTCGTAGGAGCGTAGGAGCACGCCCAGCACGAGGAGGAAAGGAAACAGGAGTCGCGTGCGTACTGCTGTATCGTTGGAGGTTGCATCTGCCTTCCGATGCTGGTGGGAGCAACAAATTCCACACATGGGGCGATTCACCCGAAAACTCGAACACACGTCATGCTCGCAAAACAACAGCAGCAGCAGCAGCCAGTGTTTACGTGTTTACGAGTTTTCTCCGTGAGCTGGCGCGCGACTCGATGTCTACTCTGGGGGGTCCCACTACGAGCTACGCCCAAGCTCTCGCCTCACGCAGGAATGCCAGGTGCATGTGCCTATCGGACACATGTACACACCCTGCAGCAAAAAAAAATTTACTTCTTCCACCAACGAACGCGCTCCGTCACGCGGCAAATCTCCACCTTTGTTGCACTTTCCATCATGCGTGGCACACACTGCGGAAGCGCCATTACAAGAAAAACGGCCTGCCGGCATCGTCGGCTGTGGGGGGGGGGGATAGGTCACGAACACCGCAAGAGCGAGTGGCGTTTCTGCAGTGAAGGCGTTCCTCTGGTATGGAGCCGCAACGCGATCAACATCCCCAAAGCTATTTTCAGAATTGTGGTCTGTGTCAGAGAGACAGGGGACGACGACCGCACCGCTCTTATGTTTTCTCTTTGTTTCAGACGAAGAAAAAAACGGTTTGCCACCAGCAGCATGCGTGTGTCCCGCCAGCCACGGCCCCACAACAACAGCCACGGCACGGCCCGCACCGCCGTCGCCCAACTGCAGACCCCGCAACGGACACGTGAAAGACAGCAGAATCTGCTTGAGTGATCGTGTTGCTAAGTTTTCGGCTCTCCTATGTAATTGTCGCTAAAACAGCGGCCGTGGGTTAAACGCTCGCGCGCATGATCGAGCAACCCTACCATCGAGCGACCTGTTTACGAGGGTACGGGCAGAAGGCGCGCGCGTCCTTCGACACAGATCTGAATTCGACCAGCGAGTGCCCGCGCGTGGTTCTCCGCTGAGCTCTCGTTGTCGCTGGAGTACCGACTGGAGAAGACCACGCACGACAAGAGAGAGAGAGAGAGCAGCAGCTCTATCTCTCGCTGCCGGTGCGTACCCAAAAGGCCCCCCCTACAGATTGATTCTCCCTGGTCTGTCCCTCATGATGCAAAACAACGGTGTTGTATGTGCTTCATCTTTGCCCAGCGCTCACCATTCAGCCAAATAAACCCGATCGCCTCCGCCGTGTATACGCAAAGCCTCCAGCAAAGTGTCTAGGCTGTTGTCTGCGTCGATGCTCTCAAGCTCTCTCTCGGTCTCCTGAGCCACGTCGCGATAATTGTCTCTGCTCTGCGGAAAGAGGCAACCGAACCACATGCATGGAAAAAAAAAATGGGAGGGGGTCTCTCAACAGCATAATTCACATGGGGGGGTGGGGGCTCCGTGGCGGCACACCTCGAGGACGACCCGCGACATGCGACATGTGTGCACACAACCACGATCCGCACTCTCTGCTCAAAGGTAATCCCTTCAGGGAGCACGGCCGGCGGTCCAGCGCGTGGCTCTCGCTAGATTGGAATCTGCAGTGCACCCCTTTTGTGGTTCATCGCACCGGAGTTTTCCGAAGCCGACTGCTTGCCTTCCAAAAAATGGCCACGCTTCAACTCTCCGACCCGCACCAGAGCATCAAGGAGGAGGGGACTACTGCTGTACGCTGCCCGCTTTGGCGGCAGGTGCAAGAAGAAGCGCGCAACATGGTAGGTGCATGGGCATGCATCCGATCGGGTAGTTGCGCGGGATGAAGCAAGTGTGAAACGTGCCATTTGCAATCCAAGTGTGAATGAGCCCGCGTTGATGCCGCTTGCGGAGCAACGCGGGTGGGTGTCGTTCGTCATTGACGTGGTCCGCCAAAGCATACATAGCACACAGCAGCCCGATACCCCTGGCGTTTTGGGTTGAAGGGTTGAAAAAACTCGCACATCGCACCCTCACGGTAATCTGAAGGTTTGGTTTCTTGTACCACCCTATTGCGTTGACCTCAGAGGGAGGGAGCATTTTGAGCCAGAAGCTGCTGGAGGAAAATATACAGCAGTTTCTTGTACAGCATAGATATGCAGCTGCTGGTATGTAGATGTCGTGCATGAGGTGTCTACAGCAGTAGTCAAGTCGTGTGTGTGTGTATTAGTATGTCGTTAGCGACACCGCCATGTCACAGACGCTCGTATTGGTGGCGCTGATGATCACGCGACAGAGTCAACTACTGCCGGCGTCTTGCTTGCGGCAGCACACTGCTGTGTAGCTTCGTTCGAATCTGAAAAAAATGTGCGGCACGGCGTTCTGAAACACAAAACATGTGTCCCGGGACTGCTGTCTAGGCGAAGGGGATACAGGCCCCAGTACATGGGAGGCCCGCAAGCAACACCACAAGGTGTTGTGAGCTAGGCTCAGAACTTCTTTGCTGCGGCTGATGTGACCTGTTTTCTTTGTTCATCATTTCTCCGTCCTTATGGCCAAACAGTCATCTTGCCGACTATTAGCACTTTCTCGTCATTCCGCCCGTGGCCTCTCTTCTTCCTGAAAATTTCGGTGCATGCGTGTTTAACCCAGCCTTGAGGTTCCACCAATGGACGGTTCTCAGAAAGTATTACACGCTCGCGAATATATCCTGGTCGAAGGGATGTGTTAAATTCTGTACAGGGAGGGTTGAGGGACATTTGTGGGTGGATGTGTGCTTGTTGTGCGTTTGCGTCCAGTCTACGTTGAATGTATATGCTATAATAGGGCTAATTCACACCTTCTTTTAGTATTTTGTATTGACGTCGTGCTACTGCTGTATGTACATGTACTTCTAGCATAGCCAGTGGACACACAACAAGAGCTGGATATTAGACGTACACCGAGAAAAAGGGGGCGCCAGCTGGAACAAGAACGCTTATGCATAAAATGCACCAGCACGTGCCCTGCAAGGCTCTGCTGGGTCCGGTGTGTCTGTGTTTCGCGTGCTATGTATTATTCTTGACAGGACCCACATCGCAGTGTCTTGTTGACGACCTGCTGGAGTTTGATACTGTTCTTGTTAGATAACACTCCAGTTTATGGAACACCGTGATCACTCTTGTTTAAACAATGATGTGCACACACGACCACGCTTGCCTATAATATGAACCGGCGGGGCGTGCAATGCTCAAACTATCTTATTTAGCGTAATCAGGAATCGTGTGCGGACGAAAGGGGCCCCCTTGCTTGCAAATTTCTTCCGTCCGCCGTTCACCGGCCCCTAGCGAAGCCCTCACCCCGGCAACAACAACCTAGAGATCCGCGTCCTGATACGCTCTGAACGTAGCACGTGAGGGTGCTGGCAAATGGCGACTGACGATAACCCCCGCCCCGCCCCCCCGCGCGCGCCACCCCCGATCCCGACCTCGTCTCACTAAAGATGAAAGACGAGCCCGCCCTCGCACGTTACTTTAGGATGACTCTCCTCACGTACGACACCATGGAACGAGCCCTCGCGTATCACTTGGCCTGCAAGCTCGGGAACGACTCCGTGTCGATGGAGACTTGGGACGAGCTGCTGGCGGACGTGCTGGAGGCACACACGGACCACCTGGGCGTGTTTTTCCGCACCGATCTAGTCGCCATCCTCACAAGAGACCCCGCGGCCGAGGGCCCGGCGCACGCCTTCCTGAACTTCAAGGGGTACCTCGGCCTGCAAGCGAGCCGCATCGGGCACGTCTTGTGGAAGGAGGACCGTAAGTCTCTCGCGCTGGCGATCCAGAGCCGCGTGTCGGAGGTGTTCGGGATGGACATACACCCCGGCTGCCAAGTCGGGGCCGGCGTAATGATCGACCACGCCACCGGCGTTGTTTTCGGCGAGACGGCCGTCGTGGGCGACAACTGCACGTTCCTGCACGGCGTGACTCTCGGCGGCACGGGAAAGAGCCGCGGAGACCGACATCCCAAGCTGGGCTGCGGGATTTTAGTTGGCGCCGGCTCCATGATTCTAGGAAACATCAGCGTGGGGGACGGCTGTAAGGTATGTTGCGCGCACCAAGGTGTCCCGGGTGAGGCGAATGAGAGGTGGGGGGCGGAGGGGGTCCTGTCGGATAGAGAGGGATAAGTGCTTAGGGTTGTTGACGATATTTTTGCTGAGGGAGAAGGGGAGTCGGCCATTGTTCAATCACTTCGCCGCAGGTACTTCCTTGAATGTTGCCAATTGCGGCAGAAAGCGGTGGCTTCTTGTTTCTAGGACCAGGGAAAGGCTGCCAACGAATGCCGTTTCAATGATTGACGTGGATGAGAGAAGCATGTGCTCTTTGATGCACCGTTTGCCGAGAACGCATCAGGGGAACAACTTTGCGCGGCAGACAATTCCATCATTGGGGCTTTGCGCACTCGTGACAACTTGGTTTTGCGGCATTCTCTGCCGAGAGTGAAGCGGGCGAGGTCTTTCCTACCCTATATCGTGCTCCCGATCGCTTCGGGATAGCAGCATGAGGCATTTCGCTGTTCGTCGTCCTACACACAAGTGTGCGCTCCACAAACCGCCCGTGAAATGTCACCTTTCACGAGGATAACCAATCTTCTCTCCCCCCTCCACCCCCACCCGCGACCACTCCTCGCATGCCGTTCTTGCTCCAGGTAGCAGCCGGGTCCGTGGTCCTCAGGAATTTACCCGCCCAGGTTGTCGCAGCAGGAGTGCCGGCCAAAATCATCGGCACCGCCACAGAGGGAAAGCCATCGGAAACTGTGGACCAAAACCTCAAGCACGTGCGGTACCACAGCATGGTTGGAAACGGAAACGGCAAGCAGAATGGGAAAAATGGCGGTTCAGGGACGGGTCGGGCGGGGGCGCCCGAGGATTCGCGAACCGACCCGCGCCGGGAGACTTTGGGCATGCGAGGGATAGAAGTCAAGAAGCGCAGCTTCTTGTGATCAGCGACAGAAATCGCTGTCGTTTTTTCTGCCAAGCGGAGTGGGAAAAATGTCGGTTCAGGGACGGGTCGGGCGGGGGCGCCCGAGCATTCGCGAACCGACCCGCGCCGGGAGACTTTGGGCATGCGAGGGATCGAAGCCAAGCAGCGCAGCTTCTTGTGATAAGTGGCAGAAATCGCTGTCGTTTTTTCTGCCAAGCGGAGTACAATGTGTCGCCGTTGTTTGTGGGATCGTGTCCCACAATATATGTCATCAGATCCAGGCGTTGTCGCTGTTGTTTGTGGGGTTATGCGCCACAATGTGTTGATTTGTTTTTGTTCCTTGGTTGTATTTGTCGAAACGGGGGAAGGGTTCTTCAAGGGGAGAAGCGAAGAAGGGGGGGAGGCAACAGTTCGGATTGTCCTCAAGGATCTTGGCTCGCGCTGCATTCACCGCTCGTAGTGTACATGCAAATGTGTGTATTGGCATCTGCAAGGTCGCTCGTTCAAGTTATGTGGTAGTGAATCGGGAAAGGAAACCCCTCCTCCCTCACTTCACAGCCCAGCTTCTCCAGAAGCCACAACGTGTTGGGTCCTAAGGTACTGTTTTCTTGTCGCAGGAGGTGTTCGTGTTGTCTGTCTCTGGGTGCGGGCTGACCGAGGCAGGTCGATTGTCGTGTTGCTCATCGTGTACGCGGCTCAGCTTGCGGCATCTGTCGCCCCAGCTCTGCTCAAAACTCGCGAGAGGGGAGGATGTTGTGCATTTGGTTCAGAAGGTGGGCGGGAGTCGCGGGTGTAGAGCGCAGCACGTTTGTTCCTTAGCTCGGTTGTAGCCGTGAGTGTACAGGGTAGGACTAGTCTCTCGGCAAGCTTGAGCTGATTATTGTAGTTTCCAGGCCCCCAGGTAGAATCTGGGCGCGATTTTTGTATTTTGTCTCGCCGCCAGTCCTGCATGACGTCGAGCGGGTGAGTTTCATAAGGTGATGGCGTCATCCAGCGTGATTTATTCGTTCGTGTAGGTAGCTGGATGCAACGGGGGACAAGGATGGCCCGTGTTGCTTAGACTTTTGACAAACAAATGTACCATATAGTAGCCGTCGGATCAGATGTAGCTGTTGCAGCTGCAAGAGGTTTTCGAAGCGTGTATCTTGTGTTGTTGTTTGGTGCATCAAACAGAGACCCATAAGAAACTCGGTGGTTTACAAACCCAACAATGGGGCAGCTGCAGCCTCTGCAACATGCACCGCCGATACTCCGATGCGCTGCAGAAATTCGATTGAAGTTCCCTTCAAACAGGAGCCTCTGGCGTACCACACACCAATTTGGTTTGTTGTTAGCTGTATTTTCTAGAATATGTACATCGTCTGTGCATATACAACCACTGAAAGACTACCCGCTCGAGATATTCTCCCATTCATTCCCCTAGCGTTTTGCTCTGCCGTCATCTTGGACATGTGCTGCCGTTGAAGTTTCCTTCAAAGAGGGACCTGTGGCGAACAAACATAATTTTTTTTTGTTATTTCATCAATATGACCCAACGAATGAATCCATCTCTATCGAAGAAAAGAGTCTAAGATAGATTAGCAATAAATCCATAGCATCAGCGAAAATTCTGATTTTCCACGATTTCCCGAGCAGCACACAATTGATAACTCCCCCGTGGGTAACAGGGTCAACATGACAATTGGATTGGTCCGTGTGTTTTTGTTGTTCCTAGAATCACTTCTATTTGGTCAGCCGGTTTGGACGTGTAATATTTAAGATCTTTGTTACACTCACCCCAGAGAACCTATAAAACAGGCCCTAGACTGCGAGATAGACTAGAATATCCAAGGTACTATACTGTTGTACGCGGTACTCCTACACGATAGTTTGCTACACCACACACGCTAAATGCATGTTACACGGCGCATAATCCGATTACCGTATATGACACAAGATAACACACCCCCTTGACCGATTTTTAAAGATCGATTTCTCAACAGCAGGAAGACTCACAGCGCCGAAAATGGCGGCGTTGGAACCGTCTCGTTGAGAGCTTTTGGAAAATGTATCATTTCGTTTATGTATCCTCTTCGTCGTCGAGTAATCGATCTTTGAAAATCGGGCCAGGGGGTGTGTTATCTTGTGTCATATACGGTAGACATTAGACTAGAGGGGCGACAGGGCGCAATAATACATGAACAACAGAGGAAAAAAGTATATGGCCTACACCAAGAGTTATTTTCACGAGAGCCTCTTGTTTCTCTTAGTGAGAAACACGTCGCCGGTCTCGCTCTCTCTGGGGCACTCGGCAATAGGCCCCCGCTTGGCGAGGCCCAAACAAAGGCCCAATCATCAATCCAACAAGAGGGGGCGATGTGGGGGGGGGGCGGGGTCTCCGTGGAATTTGGAATTTGTATCTAATCGCGCCGCTGATCAATCATCAACAGCAGTCAAGCAGGGCATACCAACAAGCAGCCAGGGCGAGGCACGCAGCGAACATCTGCGCACCGCGGTCAGATCTTTTGAACAACGCACCTCTGGGCAGGAGCGACGGATCAGAGTGTTATCCCATCAATCCCATCAAGCGTTCCAACGGGCAGACACAGCAGCAGCACCAGCGGGTGACACGCAACGATGGCGGACAAAAAGTCGTTGTTTGCGGGTAGGACCGGTGACAAGACCGCCAAGCTCAGCAGTGCTCCTAAGAAACGGAGCGGGAACGTGATGCCGGCTGCTTCAGGCTCTGGGTGAGAACTAATTGTAGAGAGCATACACACGATTTTCGCGCATCCAATCTGTGTACGGTATCCGTTGTTCGGTCCACTGCGGTAGAGTCGTAGAGTCTAGAATACCGAGAGTTGTTTGTGTCCGTCGATGTTCAACCCTTGTTGCTTCCCCTCGCTCGCGGGCTTATCGCTCGTTTTTGCAGAGAGGAGAAGGCCCCGCCATCATTCGGAAAGAGCGGCTTTGGGAAGGGCGTGGCAGCCACCCAGCAGCGACGCGACGTCCAGGTAACAATCGCGTGCACGTGTTTCATATCCCGGGATTAATGTTTAAAGGGTGTTCGTGCCTGCCGGACAACGTTCAGAGGGGTACATCGAGATTGCGATGAAAGCTACAAGCATTCTGTGTGTAAATTTTTTATTTTTCCTTGGTGAAAAGCCGTAGAGACGTAGATGTCGTAGAACTTCACGACCACGCGCATGTTGTGTGTGTGTCATGTTTTTGTCGTTGGCGGAAGGGTCTGGTTACATGGTTACATGTACATTCATAGATACAACACTGCTGTGAAGTCTTCGCGACCTTGGGGGGCGGTATTGCGAGCGCAAGAGGGACGTGCTTGGCAGGCACCGTCTGCCGGGATGCCCGCCCGCGGGGTCTCCAGCCTCTCCTCGATTTATAGCTCCGTTGAGGTTGCCGCCGCGGAGGTAAAGGACTGTTGTCTCTTGGTAAATATCCGTTGGGGCGCCGACGGCCAACCTTCGTAGCTTCGCGGACTAGCGGGTTGCTTGCCCGCGCCAACAGGTCAGCACCGGCGCAGGGGGCGCTCTTTCCGCTGTGACAAAGAAGAGCGAACGTATTAACCGCCACACCGAGCTATTATAGCTGCCTTGATGAAGAAGAGGTCACGGGTGGTCCTCGGGAGGAAGAGAGCCAAGAGCAGCAACACCATCAAACCCGAATCTGCGCTGGTGACGATGATGATATTCTTTTTTTTTTTTGTGTGGCAACAGCGTTTGTCACTTCAATCTTTGCTGCGCAGCCGGGGAGGGGCGGGGGAGGTACGAGGCTGCTGTGCAAGTGTCCGCCGGCTGCTGCTCGATAGGCTGGTGAAATCTAATGATTGGTACGCGTCACGCGCCCGTGTCACCCAAGTCTGGTCGTTGCGTGCCCCATTAGAATGATGCTGGCACACTTCCTCTCCCGCGCGATTTGCCATCTGTTTCGCACCCACGTCTCTCATTCTAAATTTACACTCCCTGGTACTACTTTGCACCTGCTCTCGACTGGTAGCCATGGGACGCTTTTTTCAGTCCTGGTTTCGGGGGTTGGTTCAGGGTTCAGGTATTCCCAACCCTTTTCTTTCTCGTCCCTTCATCCCTGTTGACACACGTGGAAGGATCGACCGGTAAATAATCCGGGGCCATCTGCCCCTCCCTTTCTTTTTGGCATTTCGGGCTACAAAAATACTCCAGCGTGTGTCCCTTCGCTTGATTACTGATTATTGTTCCTTCGATGGTTCGAATATTTGGTATAGCTTGCTGCCTCGGCAAGCTACGGCGGAGATGGTCGACCGCGTGCCGTGTTGGCGCTTCGTTGCTTGACGCGTTTTTTTAAAATTATTATTTTCGATTGGCCACGCCCGTCGCCGGTTGTTGTGTGCAACATTTCATCTGAGTGCGGAATGTTTTGATGATTTGCCGCAACCTCTACCGCCGTTGTTGTTGCTGTTTCTCGTTCTTTTTTCGAAATTTCCACATCGTCGCTAGGCCGTCGCGTATGGCACAATCAAGACAGACTTGTCTGGAGGGTTCATGTGTATTTGTACCACCTTGTAGGTGTGAGTTTCATAGGCGTGCAGAAACAGTTTTCACTCGATCGAGTTGTTTCTCACTCGTGCCACCTCTGGCCCGCATTTTTTTTTTGTCTTCACTTTTAATCAGCGCTCACATCACTAAATAGTGCCGTTTACTCCAACCCGTGATCACACAGAAGAGCTCCTCTCTATCCTCCCCTCCTGCGGTACGTTGCCTTCGATGTTTAATGCGAGAAGAGTTCAGCACTTTGTTCCCTCCGTGTACACACGAGCTAGCGCTATCCACTTGGCCAGGAGCGGAAGCGAGAGAAAAACTCACTTTGCAAGAAAAGCTCGCTTGCGCCGGGATTCGAACCCCTGACCCGACCTCTGGATGGTGTCGAGGATACCAACTAGACCACCGGGGCGACCGGCAGTTGAGGGCACTCGATTCGGCATTGAGGTTGTCATGCGGAACGACCTTCTTCACGTTCCTCACTTCCCAATCCATGCATACGTACATGTACCTTCGCCTGAAATGTGCTGACGGACCTGTTTCGATGCCTCCACTTAACTCTGTTGCCGTTGGTGGTGGTGTTTCTGTCAAGTGCTGTTGCTATGTGTACATAGCTGTTGCCGTCGTCGTTGTCGCTGTTGCCGTTTTCTCTCATAGTTATTCGCCTCATATGCATACATACCGTGGTATCATACCAAAGGCCGCCTTAATGATCATGGGTGGCAGGAGACAGCTATCTATCGTAGCAATGCGGCGGTATCGACCATCCCCAGTGTTACTGTCGCGCGCGCGGGCATCGTCCCCGGCGCGCCCCTTTTTCTTGAGTGGAACCACGTCTTCATCAGTTTGTGGGGCAGCAAGCGCGTGGCCGTGACAGGGCTCGGGGGGAACGGGATCTTGCTGAGCTCGTTGAAGTTGACCTTAAAACATTGATCCACAATACCCCCGTCTGCATTGCTTCATGAGTTGACGTGGCCGGCATTTACTGGAGCGGCCTCGCTAAGCTTATTGCATGGAACGAACTCGAGATGAAACATGGGCCTTTCTTGTTGAAGTTGATCCCACCCCCCGAGAATTGAGTGAGCCGCCGTTCCATTCTCTTTTATTGTAGTGTAGACCTAACGAACCAACGGCATTCCCCCCCCCCCCTAGCGACACATGTTCGTACATACATATAAGTATGCAACCAGTCGTGCATGTTACACCAGTATTTCAATAAAAAATTGTCTGTTCTTTTGTGTTGAATCAGGTCAAGGAGGCCGAAGAATACCTTAAACAAGCGAACAAGATGTTGACCAAGACATTGACACGCTGGAATCCCGACTTCTTCAGCGCCGCCCCTCTCTTCGAAAAGGTGATTTTTTGTCTCGTTTCTCTCACGTTGGATTATGGTCTCCTCTTTTTCATGGTGTGTTTGCTGCTACAGAATATTCCGACCGGACAGCTGCCTGCGGCCAAACTATTTTTTGCGTTGGGTCTTCGTGTCCTCGCCGAAAAAAAAGACAAACGAAAACAGTTGAGCCTGTTACCCACAGGGGGGATATCGCAGTGTGCTGCTCGGGAAATCGTGGAATTACAGGTAGCCGTCTCGACGCTATGAATTCATTGCTAGTCTATCTTAGACTCTTTTTCTCAGACAGAGATGGATTCGTTGGGTCATATTGAGAAGAAAAAAAGAAAAACAGATGTGTAGTGCCCCCCGGCGCCCGCTCTAGTTGTTTTTGCCGAGGGTGGGGTTCTTACTTTTGGGCTTCAGATGGCCGCTGTATACATAGGTATTGAGCGTGAGGGGTTGTTATCCGAGCCAACAAACGGTGCACATGTTTGATGCCATGTTGAGCGTTAAGTTCTTAACCGCCAAGTCCTGAGTGCGGTCGCTATCTGTAGGCACTCTACGGGAACACGTGGCTGTTTCATTTTTTTGTTGAACCATGACATACGTACCACATCCTCTTGCTTTGCGTGTTTGTTGTGCGCGCACGCACTCTTGGAACTGTTCACGCCGCGCTCATGTTGCCAACAACGCCGAGGCTACATACGCATGCAGTTTTTTTCCCTGTTCATGAAACCAACGGACGAGCCAGACACATGCGATGCGCTAAATAGGTTTGCACCTGAGTCTCTCTTGTTGGGCAAGGTTGACCGACTGACTTGTGACCAAGCTCTATTTAGGCGGCTCCTTGTTTTTTTGCAGGGAAATGTGCAGAAAACCAGGTGGGCTGTAGGGTGTTTTTTTTGGGGGGGGGCAATGGTCTCGGCTCTCGTTCTGTTTTTTCATGTCGGTAACCACTACGTGCTGTTGAGAGTACAACACACAAGAGCGCCGGCAATCAATCAAGCTGAAGCCACGGGGGTTACATACACGAACGGCCCTTTGGGCGCGAATAACTTGTGTGCCCGGCAAACTCACGAGGTGCATGGGTTTGAGCAGGTTTTTTACCCGGCAGTACCGCCGGCTCATTTCTGCAGTCGCAGAGCGTGCAACATCCGACAAAATCCAATAGGAGCAGACGTGGTGCAACTGCCGTCGTTACTTTCTCCCGTGGATGTATGCGTGTACGACGCAACACCCGTGCAGCAGCACAAGCGCATTCTCTGCGGGGCGCGTGTGAGGCGAAGCACGCATATTTTTGTCGTTGCCGTCCATTTGTTGTCTAGACCCAGTGCGGATTTCTGTCGGAACACCCACGGGCGAACCTTGGTTAGTTCCGGGTGACGCAAGCCTATTCGCATACCCTTGGTTTGTCTAGCAGGCGACAGCGGTCCCTGTTGTTGCTTCATGGTACTGCTGTTTAATGCAGTAGTTCCGCGGTGTTTCGCGCGTGAAGTGGCATCGGAGGCGGGTGGTTTGCTTTGTTTGTTTTTGAAAGGGGGGAGTTGGGAGCGCTTAACTCGCGCGCATGTTTGGCGCATGGGGGCAGCAAGGGTGGTTCCCGACATACAACAAATCCGTGTCTGATTGGTGGAGGAGAAGGGTACGAGAGGGGGAAGCTTGAGAACTCTCACAACAGATAGATGTTCGGCTTGCGGTTCCGGTCTACATCCCGTATTCTTTCTTTTTTTCGTCAGGTTCGGCGGCTGTGGTGTGACCGCATCAGCAGTAAGCATACAGGACCCAACCTAGCCTGACTTTCATAATTTCATAATTTCATCACCAATAATCTTCCTGGCCGCTGTCATTCTTGTCCAAATGTAGGCACAAACATGCCGGGGGTGCTGATGTTTTGTAATTTTCCCCCAAGGATTGATCTGGTTTACTTGTTCTGGCCCGTACGAATGGTCTGGCTACGTACGTAGTTGACATGGTCAACCTGCGGACAAAGACGCTTTTCGAATAACACTCGGTTAACATGACTGGCTCCCTGCAGACTCGCATGGAACGCCGCCGTTGCGTTAGACGTTTGCACACAGCAGACGCATCCGGTGGTTGGACCAACGAACGGGTGCAAAATACACTTGGTTCGGTCATTCTTGTACCCTCGGAAAATTTTGCCACGGTTGTGCCCGGCCGGAACGGTTTCCGCGCTTCGTCGACCTCTTGCTCACGGAGCGGCTTTGCCTCGGTGTTGGCCTCTTTGTGTGCTGTCTTGTCTCGTTTCTGCTTTCGTACGCAGCAGCCGCGCAAGCGTCACCCCCAAGCGCCTTTCCGTCATTACCTCCGCCCCCGCCCGCCCCCCCCCGACCTCTTTTTTTTTTTTTTCGGCTTGGTGTTATCCTTACCAAATCAGTTGTTGACTGGTAGTCCCTATTTTTTGTCCTGCGTTGATATTGTTGTTGTTCAAGCCTGAGTATTGACCTGCTGTCGACCACCACTTATTGTTTGTTGTTGCTCCTCTTATCTCTGTCTCCCTCTCCCTCCCTCCCTCCCCCCTAGGCCGGAGCTTGCTACCGCGCCGCCGGCGAGGACGGGAAGGCGACGGCAATGTTCATGCAGGCGGGGGACTGCCAGTGCCACGACTCTGTCATGGCGCATGCGTCCGCAGCGAAAGACTTCAGGGAGGCTGCCCTTATCACCGAGAGGCAGGGCAGGTAAAGAACGCCTACTTGCATTAGCAGCGAGGGGTGGGGAGTAGATTGGGGAAGGAGTTTTTTTTTTTGGCATCGACCGCGCCGGCCGGCTGAACAAATGAGGACGTGTCACTTTTCATAGCGGGATCAAAAATGACGCACACGCTTTCTGGTCAGCATGGTGCTATCGACAGGTTTGTGTGTTTCACGTCGACCGCCGTACCCGGCTGACAAAACGAAATTACGTCAAGGTCAGTGCGGATATAAACGTTGAACGCTTTTTGTGCATGTGTGTGTATCTCGACTTGGCATCGACCGCGCTACCTTTCTGGCCAATTGAAATGCGTACGTTTTCTGGCGGGGCACAAAAGCGCAAACACAGATCCTCTATTTAGCGCGCATGTGTGCATTACAGATTTGAGCTCTTGCACGACTTTCCCACCACGGTTTGTTTTGGTTTTACGTGCTGTGTGTCTTCTACGCTTGTTGGTTATTTTTCTTTTTTTTTTCACTTTTGTTTTTATGGTTTCCAGGCGAGAAGAGGCGGCGGCGTTCTACATGCGGTGCGCCGAAGCGTGGATGCACGCGGACGAGCCGGGGAGGGCGGCGGAGTACTTCGGTCGGTCGGCGAAGCTGGTCAAGGATTCCGACGAGGACGCCGCCGCCGAGCGATTCGTTACCGCCTCGAAGGTATGTATCTACTTGTATGTAACATAGCGGTCGACTTTGCCGTGCTTTTGCCATCGGCCGTCCGTGCTCCCGCGGAGAGACGGCCTAGCGTAGCACCGGTCCAACCAAAGCCTAACCTGTCCAACCAGAGCCTAACCTTCCGTCCTCTGTTGTTGTCTCATGTCCGATCGAATGGGTTTTTCGCGTTGTAAAAAGGTCATGGTTCCCAATGGGTCTGATTCACGGAGCAACTTTACGAGAGTGGTGGGCAGTGTGGAAGTCCTGGTGCAGGCGATTATCTTCCTGGCATCCACGAACCGCCTCGAGCAGAGCATGGAGGTGCGTGGTACCCCCCTTCCCCTCCCCCCCAGGCAACTGCATGGTGATGAATACATACAATACACACATGCCCATGAACTGCAAGGCATCGCGGCGCTTCAGTGACTCAGTCCATCCCCTGTTGTGGGCAATTACTGACCTGTGCTCTTCCGTCTTTGAGAGATGCGTGAGGTCCGTTGCAGTAAAACGCCATACACTACACACGAGCAGCCTCGATGTGCTTCACCCCCCCCCCCTGGCGTCACCACCCCTTACGCAAAGAGTTTTTTTTATTGGGGGGGGGGGCTGACGGCCACTACTTGTTTTGGTAAAGAAGGTGTGTCAATTGAGGCCTATGTGTCGCCATGGCATGGTGCTGGAGAAATCGATCTTGTCAAGGGCACGCCTATGACGTGCGTGTTTCGAGTGTTTTTTCACCCCTTCCTTACTGTTGTGGGGAGGTAGACTACCTACGGCTCCACGACCACGCACCACCGCCTGTTGCAGAGTCTAGAAACACCCTACGGCTCTCAATCACGCCCCACCACACCTATCGCAAGCCTCGAAAGACTAGTCACGGCTCTACAACCACACAACACTGTCTCAGAGTCTTGAAGGGCTACTGTTCCTACGAACGTTGTTCTACAACCACCATGACCAAGTATTGCCGAGTTTTGCTGTACGGTGTTCTGCAGTCCACCACCATGACCATCATCACCAAACCGCGATTTTGTCTCCATGTGCACCTACCTTTCTCGGCCCTTCCTCGCACGCAGGTGCTGTCTCGTTACGTGATCATCCTCGAGGCCGAGGGCATGGAGCACTCGCTGGGCCGAATGTACCTGACTTACTGCATCCTGGCGTTGGCCCTGGGAGACTACGTCAGGGCAGACATGGCCTTCAGGAATGTGCACCTTCAGAGCACAGCGTGAGTGTTGGGGGGGATATTTTGAGAATATGCATACAGTCACTGAAAGACTAGATACCCGTCCGAGATGATACCACAGCGGTGGAAAAATGGACTGTTTTGGGATTGGACCACGCTGCAACGGCGG